CCCTTGTGGCCCGCCGGTGGGAGCCTGCTGCAGCAGCAGCGTTTCTGCAGCAGGGCATGGGGGACAGGGCCCTGCACAGAGCTGCCTGGAAGCAGGCCCTAGCTGCAGAGCAGTCTGTGCGATGGGAGAGGGCGTGTATGTGTATGTCCTGTGGTATCTCAGTCCATCTATACGTATTTTAGAAGAGAAGCAAAAATCCGTTCTGTATGTCAAGGACCTAGAGAGAGTTAGAGCCTTAGTGGCATGAGCAATAGCAATTGTAACCCTTAAGGATGCTGAGGTAGGTTGGTAGGTTGTTGTGGATGTTGGTAGGTTCTGTGGATTGGTCTGCCCTTTACCTCTCTTACTTTTTTTTTTTTTTTTTTAATAAAAGAAGTAAGCTACCGAGATAGAGGGAGAACTCATTCATGTTTGTATTGGGTAGCGCAATTTGATAGAAACACCAGTGAGAAGAGTGTGCGAGCAATTATTTATGGGAGAGAAGAAGTAGTGAAAATAAGCACGTTTTAGTTAGACACTGTTTTGGTGTGTAGTTGGACCGTCACCTTATACTGACTTGATGCGTCCTCTTCTCCTTGAGGTGCCAACGATGGCTGTAGAGAAAGTCTTTGTGTACAACAACACGTCCATCGTGCAGGATGAGATTCTGGCTCATCGCTTGGGACTTATCCCTATCCGAGCTGACCCTCGACTCTTTGAGTACAGAAACCAAGGTGAGAGTCCTGAGTCTCCCTTCAATCAAACCGAAATACTGAAGGTTGCCCCCAAAGTAGGAAACCTGGGATCAGGTAAACTGAGCAGAAGCGTGATTCTGTAGACGCTCGTGTATTCTCCCCTTTCCAGGAGATGAAGAAGGGACAGAAATTGATACGTTGCAGTTCCAGCTGAAAATAAAATGCAGCCGAAACTCTCAGGCAGCCAGGGAGTCCTCTGACCCCAATGAACTGTACTTCAATCACAAAGGTAAGGTCTTTCCGTGTCCTAAAAACAGATGCTGCTTTTTTTCTTGGGAGACAGGAATTGGTCCATTCTCTCAGTCCTGTGAACAGAGAGAGCTGATTCCCTTATTCTGCTAAACTTTTTACCAGCTCCAGTCCTGTAGCAGTCTGCTTTCTGAGGCAGCAGCTGGCTGATGCTTGTGGCTCCTCTTCACAGTGTACAGTAAACACATGACATGGGTGCCTTTGGGAAATCAGACAGACCTCTTCCCAGATGCTGACTTCCGACCTGTTCATGATGACATCCTTATCGCACAGTTACGACCTGGCCAGGAAATAGATGTGCTTATGCACTGTGTCAAGGGTATAGGTAAGTCACTGGTCCTGAGGGTAGGGGGAGAAGGTGTGGGAGTGCTCGGACTATAGGGCACGGACGGATGTGTGGAGGGGAGAGGTGGAAGGCTGGCTTGCCTCTTTGAACTTTAGGCCCTAGCATCATTACCCTCTTGTTCTGTGAGACCTCTCCTCACCCTTATCTCTTTGTGCAGGTAAAGATCATGCCAAGTTTTCTCCTGTGGCCACAGCTAGTTATCGACTGCTTCCGGACATTACTCTCCTGCAGCCTATTGAGAATGAGGCGGCTGAGTTGTTGCAGAAGTGCTTTTCCCCTGGAGTCATTGAGATCCAGACCATCAAGGGTACTTTATTCACTGCTCTAACGTGTCATGTCCTTATGAGTCTTAGCAAAGAGTTATTGCAGACTAGAGCCAAACCTTGTGGAGACGAAACCACATTGTGATGTTGTCTTGCTGATCAGCAACTGTTTGTGCTGTTCTCAGCCTGGTTTTATGGATGAGTGGCTGTTGCACGCGTATGTGTTTGCTGGTGAACTGAGATCTCCCTGAAATGCTAAGGTATTGTGTGTCTGTCTGTAGAGCCCTGTGGCTGCTTACTGCAGCTTCCAAATACTGCTCAACTGTGTGTCAGACTGGGTAGTGAGCTTGGTCTTTCCAGCAGTTGAATGTGGGGATGACGTGTATCCTGCCCAGGGGTATGTATAAGCTTTGTGTTTAGATTGGAACTGCTCATTTCTATCAGGTTAGAATTTTGTGTTGGAGGTGTGCTAATTCTTTATACTTTGTGGCTTCACTACCTTTGCTGGTGGGCGAGTGCTTGTCTGGGGTGCCTTTTGGTCATGGGAAGTGCTTGTCCCTGTTTGCTGCCGGTGCCCATCTTGTTTCGTCTTTTTCCCTTTAGGAAAAAAAGTGGCAAGAGTAGCAAATGCAAAACTGGACACGTCATGAGGGTCTGAAAAACCTTGTGCGCCTGGCAAGAGTGCGAAATCATTACATCTGTAAGTGACCCATTTTCCTCAGAGCAGAGAGCCTTTCTCTGCTGTGTGTGCAGCATGAGCAGAGGCTTGGCTAGTATTGCTATCTCTCGTCTCTGTCCTCCTTCCCCTTCCCCCTCACCAGTCATTAGCCTTGGTACGCTTGTATGCTCATGGGTGACTACTGAGATTGTGGTTTGGCGCTGTTTCGGGACTGAAGGTGTTTGTGCTTCTTGCTGGCTAATGTTGTAAACCTCTCTTCTGGCTGTGAAGGTTTAGCTTGACAGGAGTGCAATGTAAGTGAAAATTCGGGGGCAGAAAGGCTGGAGCCAGGTGTAGGCTGAAGCTGGATAGTGGCTGTGCTGACTTGTATCTCTGTGCAGTTTCAGTGGAGTCTACGGGTATCTTGCCTCCAGACGTGCTGGTGAGTGAAGCCATCAAGATACTAATGGGAAAGTGCCAGCGCTTCCTGAATGAGTTGGACTCTGTGCCTATGGAGTGACCAGGCTGTAGCTGAGAAGCACATCCCTTCACTGCTGGTTTGGGGGTTTGCCTGCAGGGGTGGTTCTTCCTCTGTAGGCAGGAGGTCTGAGATGGGTTTGTTAGATTCCCAAGACCATCTCTTTGTGTTTGTTTTCTGTTTGTAATGAGCCTCATTGAGGAGATGCCCTAAAATAAAGGCTTTTCTTCACAGCCATGTGCCTCAGTGCTGTTAACAGTGGTAAGACCCTAATATACGGAGAAGAAAGTGCCAGCAGGCCTAAAGATGAGCAATAGGATTTATTTTGGATGGCATGCACTGTCTGAAGAGGACTGCTATGGCAGTGTAGTAAAGCACTTAGCAGCAGGTCGGTGAGATCTTAATGCAGTCCTGCCCTGGTACTTGCTAACAGAGGCTGTGGTAGTTAATTGATGTGGTAGATGAAAGGTTGCACTGTTACATAGTATTGGGTTTCTCTGTGTAGTAGCAAAGTGGGGCTTAAAAACATGCTCTGTAAGGACTAACTGTTCCCTGTTACATGTCTCAAGGTGAGGTGTTTCTTTCTTGATGTTAACCAGGCTTGGCTACTTTGTTCTCCCTTTCAGTGTCTGAACCTGAAGCTGAGTTAAGAGTTTCCTGGGGAACAGTGGCAGGTAGGGGGGAGCTAAAGGCCTGTCCCCACCAAGGGAAGCCTGGGAGAACTTGCAAGCAAGTCTCTGTGGTGAGCACTCTGTTAGTCAGCACTAGGTAATTCTTGCTTGTGAATGACTCTATTGTTAGGCTTAACAAATGAACTAGAACTCCAAAGAGTGGCTATGAGTACTGGTCTGTTTCAGTGACTTCAGTTAACGCTTATTAAACTGCTAGAACTGTGTGTAGCAAATCGTACGTCACCTGTTCCACTGGGGTATAGTTAGCTGTACGTTTACAGGACAAGTATTAGGCTGGATGTGCTGTAGAAAACGTGTGCGTTCAGGACAAAGTCAGTAAAGTGGGATCGAAACAGTGGTGACGTTCTGGCCAAAATCCCAGGCCTGTTCCATTTTATCATACTGTGTTGCAGACCCATGCTCTGCTCACAGATTTTTTTTTTTCTTTTTTTTAAGACTGCTGGTAACTAGTTGCTGGGAAACTGGCTGCTTCCTTGTCAAGGCTGTTCTGGGGGGAGGGGTTGCAGTTGGTGTTTCACAGATGTGCTTCCTGGTTTTTGTACCTCTGCCTCTTTCAGCTGTCTTGCAGGAGCCTTTGCTGTAGAACTTACCCTGCACGATCTATTTATTCTGCTTAGAACTGGAAGGGAGTTTTGGGAATCAAAGAGCTAGGCCTGTGTTTTGTAGCTTGTACCTCCTGGTTTAGAGCTCCTAACAGCCACAGCCAAGGTGTCTGCCTAGTGCTTTTGCTTGCTGAAAACTGAGACAGCCCAGCTGTACAGTACCAGTCTCGCATGTATGAGTCGTAGTGCTAGCCTAGGCATACAAAACTTCCTTTAGATCAGGACTGTGGTTAGTTCTTAATCAACTTCACTCAGGTTCTACCGCTCCTTTTCAAAAGTAGTAATTTATAACTGGATTGTTTCAGTTTAAACAAGCTGAAGCAGCTTCCTAGTTGAGCTGGATTACAGGTAGGACCTCAAAAACGGTTTTGTAATGGGGCCCAATAGGGAAGTTGTCAGGCTTACCTCTCACAGGGCTTCTGCTCTAGTTTGGAGGACTTTCTTGCAAGCCTCAGGACAAAACGAATCATCTTCTAGGGTTACTGAAATGGTAAGCTGAGAGTATTAAGACTGAATAGCTCAACTACAGCGCTGTTGCTAGCCACTGTTCCTCCCAGCAATAGCTAAGGTGGCGCTTGGAGGCTGCATTAGCAGCATATGCAGCTGTCTATTGCTGGGGGCTTGGAAATATCCCAAAATAACCAAAGAAAGCCCTAAAGACCTTTAATTATATTGACTTTGTTTGAGACACATTGATGGAGTTTAGGAAAGAATGTGCTGCTGTTGACTGGTTCCTAGCATGTGTGGGAAGAAGTCTCTCATGCTGGAGGAGTTTAGGAAGCTTCCAACCAGAAAGAACAAAATTCTGTGAAAACTATCAGCTGCTTCAAACAGGAAACAAAACTTGGGACAATTCCAGGCCCACTGCTTGAGAAACAGTGATGCAGTAACGGACTAAAGAAGCATCCTTGAGGCTAAGCTAACCTCTTTGCCCTACTTCCATAAGCCTAGCTACAGTGGAAGGAAGGGAGGAGAAAGAAATTGCTTCAGTACATCCCAAACTGTGTTCCCAAGAGACAGTATGTATGTCAGTCTAATCATTGACTTCTTGTGCTGTCCTTAACCCCTGTGAAGGATGCTGCCAGCTCCTACTCTGATTGTCACAAGCAAGGTACCTTAAACCTTTCTATTAAGGTGTCCTTACAGGCCCCTGCATCCATTTTAAGGTAATAATACTACAGCTTGCACTTCTTTGTGTTTTCAAGGCATGCTTTGTTTTCTGTAGCCATGTCAAAGCAATTGTCTTTGTAAACATGTACCCTTCAAGCTTTGAACCCAGCAGCTGTGGTAGAATTAAGATAAAGCAGCTCTGACTGATCAGCTGATACTTTTAAATGCCTCTTTCTCCTTGCCTTCTAATTTAATTAGCTAGCCTGGGACAGTGCATCCCCATCCTGATTACTGACATGTGACAATGTCCAATTTACACGGACTACCAGCAAAGGTGTCTCCCTTTTTGCAGATGGGATAAGACGTGCTGAATGACTCTTAGGAAGGCCCACTAGGGGGCAAAGCAGAGGCTTCAGCTGTTGGTGAAGGAGGTAAAAGAATAAAATGAAATCACGACACCATGTGTATGAAACTGGAATAGCTTTACTGACATTCAGAGGTGTAACACAACCAGTTCAGAGACAGCTTCAGCTTTAAACATTCCTACAAAAAAGGTTCTAAAAACCATTTAAAAAAACCCCTTGTGTTTAGCATGAAGTCACAGAATGTTAAAAATACCACAACACAATAAATACACCCAGCCTTTGCTTGAGCCAGGAACCATATGAGCTCAGGAGTTTAAAAAAAAAAAAGTGAGGCCAGGAGGAAAGTGGAGGGTGCTGGTGGAACAGCAGCAGCAGAAGGCTGCACTGAGTCCCAAAGCTTGCTCTTCCTTTCAGCCCTCCCCCTCCCCCACCCTCTTCTAAACCAAGCTTTTCTGTCCAGTCCAACTTAGCAGAGACACCACCTTTGTCCCCCCTCATGATTTATTACTTTTTCTGTCTCCTGGATGGCAAAACAGCCAGCTTGTTCTGGACAGACTGTCCCAGCTCCTGTACCACTGTGCTAATGTTATAATAGACTGAACGAACCATTTATCCTGTAGAATAACCAGCTTTGCAGCCTGGAGTGGTTTGCTAGATTCCTACCTCCTCCAAAAACCCAGTTTCTGGACAGGCTTCCCTCCCCTGTAAACTGCATTATAAAACCCTACTACTTGCTGCCATGCCACATAATCCTCTGAGAGGTACCATACTGGGTAAAAACAGAGGCTACTGCCACCTCCACAGTGACAGTGTGGGCTGATCCCTTTTGGTTTGCAGGTGCTTCAGCTATTGGTCCAGATTTTGTGTACCTGCACTGCCCTGTTCTAGTCTACAGAGCATGGTTACAAAAAAAAAAAAAAAAAAAAAAACCTTCCTGTCCTGCTCCTGAGAGATGTCTGAGAAAGGCTGGCACAAAGCAAAAGCCTTCCATTTGGCTCTAGGTAGAACAAGACATATGCACATACATATATGATGACAGTGTCTGCCTCCTTTCAGAGAGGAGCTGCACCTTAAAAAGACTGAACTCAAGGGAGAGCCTAGAATACTGCAAGGCTTGCTGGCACACAGCCCTCAG